CAGAGTCACCTGCCCCGACCCTGTGATAGTGTACATAGAGAATAACACAGTGCCCAAGTCAGTCCAGTTCACGGGGGCGGTGGCCAGTGCTGGGGCCACGGTGACCTATGAACCCGCAGAAATGACCTATAATGCCTCGGACATAGACAGCCTGCTGTCCCCTGTAGTGGTGACGGCCAGAGATATGATGAACAATATTGACCAGTGTAGATTTCATATGGCCGTCAAAGGTTGGTGGATATGTATTATGAAACTTAATCATACATGTAATTGAATCCTTCTTTTGTCCAGCTGTTCAATCCCATATTGCTTCTATCTTCTTTCTCTTTATCTCTCTTTATCCCTCTGTACCAGTGTTTGTGTTTTGTGTGCTTGGTCTTTGTGGAAGGACTGATTGAGCCTTTCAATATTGGCATATGGACCGATTTCAAAAAAAAAAAAAAAAAAAAAAACATCGTACTTCTGACAGGTGTTTGACCAATATTTGCCATCCATGATAATAAAAACAGTACCATTTCAGCTGCTAACTGCACACTATGGGCTCTGCCTGCCCCAGCAAATGGTCAGAAGAGATGCACTATGTCACCAGGAGGTGGTTTTACCTGTTTAATGGTTTGTAACACTGGTTATGCCTTTGAACATACCTCTGGAAATCTCAGATATACCTGTGATGGCAACAAAGACTGGGTACCTGGCAAATATGTGCCAGATTGTGCTGGTATGTTTGAGGCAGCCTGCCTTCAATTTTTTCGAGTGTTAAGAATCCCTCTGTGGATTCAATTTGGACTTTCATACTGCACAGAAGATATGATAAACGTGGTAGTCTTTCATTTGTTCTCCTTGAACAAATTCATTGTTTTTTAACAAATGGAAGTAAAGTAAATAAACCTCTATTGGCTGGAAATGTTGACAATTTCATCCATTGTTATTGTTTACATGCAAAAGGTATATGCACTTGTTTCTATTATAAATGCATATACCTTTGTATACATGTATCTAACTGACAGTACGATTACCTTGAAATTTTGTGGAATTTTTTTCATGGTGAAAGATTTATCATATTGTGTCTAAATGTCAACGACGATAAACCAGTGAAAATTAAAATTTATATGTGAATAAAATTCAGAGAAAACAGGAAATCAAAAATATTATTATCATAGTCGTTTTTAGCGATACATTTAAATTCAATTCGGAAATATATCCCAAACTTATTTTTTGCTCTTCCAGCCACGAGCAAAGCACTTTTTACATTTTCCTTGCAACAAACATACGAGACAGACGGGGGAGGACCGGAGCTTAATGATGTTTGTATTCAAGATTACGGGAAACATTTTAACAGTGAAATCGGGGCAATTACTGATGCCTTGGAGGTTTCTTTGGGAAGAATTTATGTACGAGGGGCTAATATGACAGCCTTAGTCCGAGACACATCCTTGTGGATACTGAGTCCCACACAGGTTCATGTATTTAACACCTTATTGTTATTTTCACCTCTTTACAATACCAACATTATGCCATAGTTATCGTATTAGAATATTATAAAGCATTCAGATGAAGCGAAATATGAAAAATGCAAAATTTAACTGAATACAGATCACTCAGTGTTGTATTTCTTTTAACAAGATTTATTCACGTATCTTACATACTACGTTTTATTTAGGTGGACGTTTATATGACCTTCGCCTTTACCCCGAGAACCATTTCAGACTCCGACTACCACACAATGGTACAATTTGTCTTAACACGCTTTAATGAAGGAGAAAACGCAGTACTTCCTGTGAAGCAGCTGACCGGAAGACCTGAATGTCCTACAGTGACGGCCCAGTTAGGCTCTGTTCAAGAGAGACCCATAGCCTACATATGTCCCAGCAACAGCAAAATTAGATACCAAACTGATAATAACATTTGCTGTGAGTTTCAATGATTGTGATATTTTCAGTCAACATATTATTTTGAAATGGACATTCAACAGTGGGCTCCCTTTATGTAGCTAATTCTACTGGAGTCTAAGTGGACATTTGAGTCGCATTTATGACTCATGTTTTGTTGATATTTACATATTTGTTTATATAACTTTTTATCACTGTTGATTTTTTATGTAAAGGAGGGATCTACAAGGAGAGAAAATATTGGGCAAATCAGACTTATGAAAAAATGTTTTGAACCAAATATTTGCGTCACTTACTTCACTTCCACTAATTGTTGAATTATCCCCTCCCATTTGCTTCCCGAAACAAATAAAGGAAAGATGAATATCTTACATATTTCATTTTCTTTCAGTGGAGTGTCCATCAGGCCAGTACAGGTCAGGTGGAAGGTGTTACCGTTGTCCACTAGGGACGTACCAGGACATGCATGGCCAGACCAGGTGTATGTCGTGTCCAGCAGGTACCTGGACATACAGCATAGGCAGCAATAAGATAGAGGACTGCAGGGGTAAGTGGAGCACAGGGTCTGGGGATCTGAGAGTAGGCACAAGATATATGTGTTGCCTTTTTAAAGCAAGGTACACTAATGTTGGGGTAAGTTGGACACAGACATCCTGTACAAAACAGATAGTTTGCTTTACATTTCGTAATTTCACATCACCTAGGTAAGAAACCGGTCGTCTATGCCAAAAGCATATATGTTTTGATTAATTGCTCAATTTCAATGTTTGCAGCAACTTGTTTTGCCGGTTTCGTATCTGCCACTGGTCTGCCGCCGTGTTTGGAGTGCCCTGTGAACTCCTACTCTGTGAACATCACCTACTGTGAGCAGTGTTCTGATGGGAGTATCACCCTCGGCACGGGGAAGGGCAGCGTCACTGACTGTAAAAGTGAGGAAAAAGAGCTTTTAAACATTTGGAATGGCTGTTCTTTAGAAATTTGAGACTGACGTTTTGTAATATATATAAAAGCTTTCTTTGCTTTTATATATATTACCTCGGTCTAGAATACAGAGAAATTGACAGTGGTGCAAAAGTACAAGAAAATCAATGTGAATAAATTGAATTCATTAATACAGAAACTTTACTATTTCTACAATTTGTCACTCTTTCTCTGTATTCAGATGAATGTCCTCTTGGCCAGTATTCGTTTGATGGGTTCTACCCCTGCCAGGCCTGTCCCCAAGGGTTCTACCAGGACACCAAACAGAGCCTGTCCTGTGAGGAGTGTCCAGCTAATACCACCACTCTGATGACCGCGGCCACTCACTTGGACAACTGTACAGATATTGGTAAGCTGCCCTACAGCAGGAATACACCTGAGTTACTCGGTGTCATATTTAATGAATATATCTACCAGCCAATCATCTGGACAAATACACTGATATTGGTGAGGCGAATTGAGAGATTTCTGCTTTCTTTACGTTGCCAACAACGTCTGTTGATCTTCATTGAAAACATTAACTAGCAGTTGGTGGATTTATTCTTTCATTTAATATGTATTTTATTTATATTTGTTCGGCATTCTGTTCAGTTGTAAAGTTAATTAAAGTCAAAGATACTATTGCCTTTGCTTTCATCAATATATTAGAAGAAACAATACTTAATACTTACCGTTTTTGAAACCGAAGCAATATCGTAAAGTCAGTCCGATCCATTCTTGCAATACCTTTATTACAAATGTATTTGTTTTCGACTATTTCAGTATGTTCCCTCAGTTCATGTTCCAATATTGGAACCTGCTATCCTCACGGCCACACTTACTATTGCATGTGTCCGGCAGGTAAGACTTGGGCACTGGCCAATAACACATAAAAAGCTCTTCAAGACATTCCGTCTTGTCTGTTGTTAACCTTTATGACCGTTTCAAAACAGGTAGTTGGGATACACGCCTTATCATTGACAAAAATCCATATTTACCTATAACAATGTTTGAAATATGTTTGAAAGTTTGATTGCTTTTTACGACAGAAGAACCTTTAAAGAAGCTTAGTGAACAGTAAATTGGTAAATCTTGGTAAATATTATTAGCTTGGCTGGCCTCTAAGGTTTGAAATACGGTTGTTGATATTTTCAATTCATAGAGAGCTTTGATGACTTGTCTTGTTGAACTGTGTAGTGCTGTTCTATTCAGGTTACACAGGCCGAAACTGTGAGATAATGACCAACCATTGTGACTCTATACCGTGTTACTATGGCGCCCTGTGCACACCTGTTGTGAATGGATTCACCTGTGACTGTACCACGGCCCACAAGGCAGGACAAACTAGTTAGTGGTTCCACTAGATCTTGATATATTGCCCAAATAGTATTGATTCTGTAGTTAACTTTTTATGCATAGTATCCAGACAAAGGCAGAAGACTATATGTGTAACATTTCCGAAACGTTCCCAGTGCTTCTAATACTGTTAGACATCTAAAGGCTGATACTTCAACCCTTCTGCCGTATTTGCCTTACTCATATCACTTTACATAATAATTTAACAACAAAGACTTTTTAAATGATGATTCTTTTAATACATTTGTTCACTTTAAAGTATTAGCTTATACACCCTCTTTCTCGGCATTCCCAGCATATAGTGGTCTGAGATGTGAGCATGAAGCAAATCAGTGCAGTAACAGCACTGGGTTTCCAATCCACGACTGCAAATATGGCGGTATGTGTCAGGACTTGGAGGCAGGCTACAACTGCCTGTGTTTACCAAATGGAAATTTCACCGGAGACAGGTAAGTTTGTACAAATTTCTTGTTATCAAAAAACATGCACGCGCGCACACTCATACACGCACACATTCACATACACACATGGAAACAAAAACACAGCGGAAGGTCCATAGTTTTGCAAAGGAAGCAAGATTTAACATTAACTTAATGGACACTTTTCGAGTACATTAAGCATTCATTTGTAGTGAACCAGTATTAACGCCCTTTTCTCTTGTGCGCTCAAATTTATTGGGATAACACGTGTGAAACATATGGCAAATACTTTTCAAAATGGCAATTAAATAAAGCACATGGATGTAATCTTTTAAGATGCGAGACAACCAGAAAAGTTTGCCGAGAAAATCCCTGTCGTAACGGAGCTGCTTGTATTCCTGTTGGAGCCAATGGCATTGAGCGGGACTGCATTTGTCAGGCGGAATATACTGGTCAAGACTGTGAAACAAGGATTACGGGTTAGCTTTGAATGAATACAACCTTCTAATTGTTGTTGTTCTAATTAGTGACACAAATTCAACCAGAATTGCACTAATAAAATGAACTCATAAAATAAACTTTTGTACTTTTCAATCATTGCCCATGAATTTTGGTAAAAAGTGCATCAGCATAAAGTGTGTGTGTGTGTGTGTGTGTGTGTGTATGTGTATGTGTGTGCATGCTTGCATGCGCGCGTGTGTTGTAATGTGTATTCCAGTCGAGATGCAAAAACAGATAAATTTGCAAACTAAATAGGCAATCTGATAGTTTGGCTTACTTAGCAAGGTAGACAGATACTGATAAGTAAATATTTTCATCTGTATTTTTTACATGTATTTATTTTAACTCCCTATAGGGTCTATTTTCATTGATCCATTGGATCCATTGTCAATTAACGTACATTTTTGCAGTGTCCAACACGGATGTCCCTGTGGGTACAATAGCGGCTGTCACAGTTTCTGCACTTCTTCTAGTTATTTCTTCTGTGGTCATAGCTGTATTCGTCAGACGAAAGAGATGTAGAAAAAATACAGGTATATTATTTACTTAACTTGGACTTTAATCATTGGAACTAAAAAAAGGCCAAACGTTATTGTAATTATTTTAGATAACAATCGGAAATTTCAGTTTGTTCAACATTGTTTTGAGATTTTACTGTTTACGTCATAACTTGAACAGTAATGGAAACGACACAAAATATTTGACAATTCACATTAAAAGAACATATGGAAAACTATATAAAACTAAGTAATCATCTCTTATGTGGCGTGATATTTCAGATAAAAGGCAAAAAGAAGATGGTGTAACTAAAATGACTGAAGAACTCATGCAGGTAGTTGAGATTGGTGTTTAAATCAATTACAGTAAAGAATCTCAAATAACAGACACAATTAGTTAAAGTTATTCAATCAAGCTATTTTAAGTAAATATTAAATCGATATATATATATATATATATATATATATATATATATATATATATATATATATATATGGTTACTACTTAATATGGAATATTTTTTTTGGCGAGTAAATTTTCTACAAAATATTTATTTTCTCTCTAACTACTTTACATCCAAATCTGAGGTGTCACTCCCTGAGTAGCCAGGTGTGTTACCTAATTACCACACAACTCTCGAAACAATTGATGCATGCAGTTGCATGTTCTGTGATCAGAAATGTGAGGGAGGGTCTTTTCGGCAATTTCTGCCCTTGTATAAAAACTCATGGGTTTGGCCAATCTTTGGAGTGTATTTAGATAAGCAACAAAGGGATCGCTCTGAAACTTGACAGGTACCTTAGAGAAGATATGGTTCAACAGCTAAGCAACGCAGCTTGCTATGGGAATGTTGCTCTCAGAGAAAAAGACCAGAAACTGACAACCATTGCCAGGCAATGCAACATTTATCAGGAACTGTTAGTAAAGTCCTCCAAAGAAATGCTACAACAGGAGCACCTACTCCAATACCTCGTCCAGGCTGTCAGCGTATCACACCAAGAAGACAGGATCGCCTTCTCCTTAGAGTGCGCCGTGCTGGTCGTACAAAGAACCAGTGTCCTCAGAAAAGAGTGGCAGAATGTCATTCAAACGCCCGTTACAAGGTCCCTCGTGAACAAGAGTTTATTGCAAGCCAGTTATTTTGCACGAAGACCAGTACTGAAACCACTGTTAACAGCAGGCCATATACAGCGTAGTCTGCAATGGGCTGGGGACTACGTGTGTTTGCAGCCAAACCACTGGAATCACGTTGTTTTCGGTGATGAGTCCAGATAGGGAGTTTTTGGGGTTGACGGTCGAATCCGTGTCCGCCGACGTGTACGAGAGGCATAAAAGGATGATTGTGCACTGCCTAAGGTGGAAGCAGGGGGTGGTAACGTCTCTGTTTGGGGAGCATATTATGTCGGTGTCCAGAACCAGTTGTTTTTTCTAGGAGGCAACCTCAACTAGGGTTCCTACATAGACATTCTACAGCAAACAATGCTTCGATTAGTAAGAGTCATCTTCAGGAACAAGTTTGTGTACCATGACGACTGCGCAACCCCACATCGAGCTCGCAGAATCGCTGTTTTTCTTCGAAACCAATGGGTTCAGCAACTGCCCTGGCCTGCAAACTCCCCAGATATGAACCCAATTGAAAATCTGTGGGCGGAAGTAACTCACAGAATTAATAGCTATGGTTATCGGTCGGTAAATAGTGATGAACTGCGACAGGCAAATATCACTGCGTGGAATGATATCCCCATCCAAACTCTAAAAAAACTTGTCACAGGGTATGCCATGTAGGATGCTGTAGGTCATACCCGCTATTGATGACTTTTCATGATTTACTGTAATGAGTTCTTTGACTGTGTAACATATCACTGTCCGGAGGTTATAATTTTCTTTAATATCTTAGCTCAAAATTGATACTGGCATCAAACTGTTGATATGGTTTTCCGGGGGTGTTCTTTTCTTTTGAATGTTATCTTATGTCACATTTGATATTATTGACCAAAATATCTCACAATAGAAGACTTGATATTTTTATAACTCAATGACATACTTTTTTATGAATCAAGCCAAAAAAACTTTAATCAACACTCAAAAATAACAATGATAAAAAATATTCCATATTAGGTAGTAACCCTGTATATATATATATATAAGTAAATCTTGCTCCTTTTTTCCTTACAGATGCCACCCCCCAATGTAAACTCATACGAAATACCTCCGCAGATTAATAATGGTGCATCAGTGTACAGATCCTTACACGAGGAAAATGAAGAGGTAATTAATAACTTGATAAACTGCAAGCTTTTTCAAGGCGAGGAATAAATAGATTTTAAAATTTTAAAATAATAATTAAATAATCTTAATGATATTTGTATGTTAAAGCAGTAACACAAACGAATCTCTTATAACATACGCATGGTAGTTTATGGGGAATTATTAGATCGAGTTATTTTAATAAGGATTGAATCGGCATATACAAAGACTTGCTCCAATTTTTTACAGATGCCACCTGCCAATGTAGATTCATACGAAATACCTCTGCAGATGAAGAATGGCACTTCAATATCCAGATCGTTAGACGGGAAAATTGAAATGGTATGACATATGAACCTTTCCGTTTATTGTTATAAAAAGTCATAAAAAGTCATTAGTTGATAAAATGAAACATTTTTCAAGGCGATGGAATAATTGGTTTAATTACTTAATTTATATTTTGAAGGCCAATGATGTTCCGATGTACCTTGAGGTTCCGATGCTTAACACGGAGATTCCAAGGAAACATGTTAGGGTTCATGTAGAGATAGGCAGTGGGTCCTTTGGACAGGTTTACATGGGAGAAATATATAATTTTTATGGTAAAGGAGAGTGGACAGCAGCCGCAGTAAAGACAGTAAAAGGTACATTATTTCATTTATTCTTACATACCAATAAAGTATCCTATATATGAACGGGTTGGTGATTTATGAATGTCAGAATAAAAGAGATTGAAAATGCGAATAATTTAAGTTGAATGGATAAAAGCATAAAGTATAACTGTTACACAAAATGTACCAACTTAATATGATATGGCGCAAATACTGCATACAGTATGAAAATAATTGCATAGAATTATAAAAATAAAAGAGAAACACCGTCTTAATATATTTGATAAATAATGTATTTTTTTCGACTTTGGATGCGGCCATTGTGCTGTTTTGCTGACCTCAAAAAAGTAATATTGACCGGGGCGGATAAAACATCTTATTCTATGAGAATTATATTATAACACATTTAACAAGACTCACTGTTGTGAAATCTTTAGATCCTCACGATTCAGCCCTTGTCAAAGATTTGAAAGATGAACTGAAAGTGATGCAGACTCTTCGTCCACATCCAAATGTAGTCACTCTATTTGCGTCTTGCACGCGCGATGGAGGTACGTTTTACGTTGATCTATTAATTTATAATCGACATATGAATCTTTCCGTTAATTGTTATAACTTCTCATATTAAACCTACATGTAAATACCGCTGAATGAGGACATGTTTAATGTACTTAAGTAAAATGATATTGTGATTTCTTAATGCATTTTTATTTGATATTCGCAGTGTGTTTATAATATGATATACATAAGAAACCAACATACAGGATTCAGTGCTCAAACACAAGTTGATGACCCGTATGCGTAATATGTCGCATAATAACTATGCATAATAGGCTCTGATTTGTTATTAAGGTGTACCAATGATTGTCTTGGAATACCTTCCTAACGGAAATCTGCAGACTTTCCTACGAAAAGACCGAGCTCGAAATAAGGCAGTGTATGGCAATTTATATGGCGCCAGTGCTTCACTGACATCACGAGATCTGATGAAGTATGCTTTCGACGTGGCAAATGGGATGGCGTTTCTTTCTTCTATGTCCGTTAGTATACACCTTTAGATTTTTCGGTGAAATGGGTGCACATTAAATTGGATGGTAACTATTTATTTACTATAATTTATTCGTTTGCACACTGTGCTACATGTACGTGTACAAGTACATATTTAACAACACGGTGCGTTTTAATTTTTTATCTTGTTTATTAGACAGCTTTGCTATGAATGATAGTCCGCTAGGAACTGTATTCAGTTCCACATAACTCTGTGCACGGGGTATAGATCTCAAATAGTAACCATGATACTTCCTGTAGCAAATATATAGAACTCTGTTTACTCATATATCATTTTACTTGTCTCAAGGCTGTTGATAAGCTACCGATAATTTAGAAAATCATTTACCTTTCTTTATTTATATCTGTTAACTAATTATTCTCAGATACTGCACAGAGACCTTGCTGCAAGAAATGTATTGGTATCTGACGACAAAAGATGCAAGGTTTCTGACTTTGGTTTTGCTAGGGACGTGATTGAAAGCCACCACTATGAAATGAAGTCACAGGTATTACCGCTGCTGGCTAGTACTACTGTTTGAAACAGATAAAAAATATCTCAAGCTTCTCTCTTCCTTTTGGAAAAACATAAAAGTTTGGTTAAAGATAAGTGATTAACCGCTACATATTTAAAGTTCCGCGTTGGTAGATAATAGAGAGCAAAAGCTCATTTGCTGCAAATGGGTGGTAGAAGAGCTTTTGATCTCAAATAATCACTAAGTCTGGGCGTTTAAAAGATTAACTTGGTCACCGTATCTAAACTTTTATTTATGCAATATGAACTTGATATGAAAATGGCAAAATTATGTACACATAACTAAATTATTCTCACCATTCTAAATTTTTTCTAGGGTCGTGTTCCAGTACGATGGATGTCTCCTGAAGCTCTGAATGACCACATATTTACCTCCCAGTCCGATGTCTGGGCGTATGGTGTCTTGTTATGGGAGATTGTCACATTGGGTAAGGCCCTATATGTTAAATATATACTAATGTTTTTGAGCAATATAACGGGAATCGTCCAAGATTGTCCAAAGTCTCGCAACTTAGCTGAAAACTTGGCTAGATTATGAAGGATTTGGAGGGAAGTGGGTCAGATGTAAGGTTAACAAGTGCGGGGAGATTCAAGCTTACAACATAAGGTCGTTGACTCTTCACTTTTATAGAATGATAGTCTATTGCCCAGTAATACCAATTTGTCGTGCTCTGTGTCTCTCTTTTGTGTTGCTTGCTAAGTCGGCATTCCTGGCGTTTAGAGCTTCACCGTTATCGCTAAAATGATAATGTCACCTCCTATGGATTCTCGCAGATTCTCGCACGTTTTCTTGTCTCGCGGCGCATTGCCTCCATCTTTGTTTATTGCTAATCTGTATCTTTTGTGATCCCCTTTGCAAACAATATTCTTAGAACTTCTTTTATTTAGGGTGTATTCCTTACACCGGTATGTCAGCTCAGCAAGTGATGAGAAAGATAACTAACGGATACCGGATGCCAAGGCCACAACATTGTTCACAGGACATGTAAGTATATTTGACAGTATATAGTTTGAAATGATTTCAACATTATTCCATCAGGAAGATAGTGGCGCTTATGGAACGAGCAGGTTTCTGTTCTGTTTTTAACAGTGGAATTTGAAAAATGCATTCTGTGTATTTAAGGTTGCGAACGTCTTTACAGGCAGCACTTTCTGCAATTACTTTGATAACGGTTATGTAAAGTTGGAAATATTATACGTCATGGGTTTGATCATTTCAGGTATACTATCATGCTGTCTTGTTGGGAGGAGGCACCGAACGCACGACCGTCTTTTAAGGATTTAACAAGTTCATTGAACGAATTACTGGTTGCAGATTACGACGTCTTGGCCTTTGGAGAGTTTGAGGAAGCATTATATGATAATGTTGACATATATGACAGTGACGAAAAGTGCTAAATGCCTGAGTTATCAAGAGAGCGAATCATTGAACAGAATCAGTTCCAAAAATGTGCTGAAAATCAGCTTTCACAATGCGTTAACTGACATGACTAATGCCTCGTCCAAAAATTCATGGCGCCCTTCTATCAGGATGCATCTGTCCACATGCTAAAAATGTTTCAAAGTTGAATTCATGTGGTTACCGAAAATTAATGATATGTGTAGGTTGCTGTTAACTCATTAACTAATTAAATGGAATTAAATTAAATTAAATTAACATATTTTTATTTCAATTTATTCTCTTCATAAATTCATTTGTTTTTGTTACCTTGAAATTTCATCTGTGTACCAGCAAACAACGATTCTGGAAAAGATAAGTGTATGATGAATGTTAATTGGATAGATTGAACCATTGTTTACGAAAGCGGTTGCCTTTCCAGTACAATGACCGCAAATGATACATGTGAAAGTGGAAAAGTTTACCTGTTCTTGTTCCAGTATGCAGGACTGTAAGATTGCGATAGTTGCGACAGCATGAGACGCACTGTGGTTGTACTGACAAACGGATATTTGGCTTTGTTCACATCAGTTTTGATTTGGCCCATAAGGAAGAGGGGAGTCTGGACTCCCCCGGGCTCCCAATAAACCCGGGGGAAGGGGTGGCTTGGATTCTAGCATGGTCACAAAGTGAATTTTTTCTAGATCTACGTAGGTATTTTTTGGCTGTTCACTGGTTATGTTAATTGCTGCACTGTCTCAAAACCTTTTTACGCGAAGATGACAACGTCATTTGGCTGGCCTCTGGTTAAGATAACCTATTTTGCGGCATTCTCATCCTTAGCTGGATAGTTTACTTCGGTGTCCGACAACATCAGGTAATCCACCGAAATCTCAATACAAGGGGGGGGGGGGGCGAAAATAAAAATTAAGCCAGCAGATGGCACGGTGTTAGTCATCAATTTTTGTTACCAACTAGACTAAATCTGTCGTATAGTCAGAGAGTCACAAAACACCACGCACATTGTACCACTCACTATAGGTCACATTCAGAACGGATAAAATATGGCGAACCTTGAAAGCAAGGGGAAATCAAAATATATGATCCGAGTACTAACTGATCCGCCAAGTAAATATGGCCGACCCTACTTCAAAAGCGATGCCGCTAATTCCATGATGGTCTCCCGCCTCCACACGTGCTATCGCTGCAGGGGCCTAGCAATTAAACCTGGGAGCCGAGATTGAATCCGTTTAATGGTGCGTGTAGAGGAGGGGAGACGATTGGGAATAAGCGGCATCGCTTCTGAAGTGTGGGTGGCCATATAGAGTCGGGGGATCAGTTAGTACTCGGATCATCTATTCTGAATGCCCCCTAGACCGCCTAATCCCTTAATTAATGGTCTCTACACCCACACGCGCCTTCCCTTGACGGGCCTAGCAATTAAACTTCGAAGCCGAAATTTAATCTGTGTGGAGGGGGGGAGACCATTAAATGATTAGGTAGTCTTGCTTTCATGTAGGGTCCGCTATATTTGATCCGTGGACCAGTAGATCCCAGGATCATCTGTTCTGTATGTGGCCTATATTTTATGTAAAGATTAAACTAGTAGCTGTGCCTATATATACTGTATGTTGAAAACTAAACTACAATTAGCCTCACCCCCGCCAGGTAGATTACGCTTGGATAATTTAACGTAGACGTTATTATTTTAGCGGTCAAATAATCTTTGATCGACCATGGGAAATATCGGTCGACATGAATGGGCTACGTTGCCCCAGGTGTGATATTGTTAACAAAGACAACAAACCTAGCACAAACATAACTTCTGGAAAGAGAAGTTCACAATTAAGTATGGTGGTATGTGTCAAAGCCGGAGACTTCCATCAAGATCGGCAGTGTTGACAGGTCTGAGATGTTGAACACGTCATCGGAGTAAAAAAAAAAACAAGACCGTGGGAAAGTTGCAGAGCAAGGGGAATCCCCTCTGCCAAGACACGACACTATTTCCGGTATAGTAGTATATTTTGTGACGCGAAAACTATCAATATCGCAAATCTACTTCAGCAAAATTATAACTAAACATCATAGAACATGTATATTTCGAAATCTATATGGATTTACATTGTTTCTGCATTGATTGGAAAATGACTTTGTTTCCAGGGTGTAACGCACGAACTTCTGCACTCTGCTCAGTTACTTTCTCTTTTTATTTCTATTTATAGACACTTACATATATTACGAACCTTGTAATAAAATTTCCACATAAATTGTGGACAGGCAACAAACCAGAAAGGGAAGATTAACACCAAGTAAGATGGGGACACTAAAATAACTCAGGCAAGTCTCTCTCTCTCTCTCTCTCTCTCTCTCTCTCTCTCTCTCTCTC